TCTTTCTTGAAAGAATAAATCTATGCATGCATTTTTTGCCACAAAATTCTTCAACAGCAACTTTCTACTGGAGGAAATTTATGCTCACTTGCAAATATGCTAGAGCTAGAACATGATTTTGTGACTTATAAATTCCAAAAACCACTCACCTTTCGCGAGTTCGTGAGTGTTAAAAAACATAATTGGAAACCCTGTAAAACCAGTCATTTATTAGTGTCACCTCTTGCTGCTGTAGAACAACTGTAGAACAACCGCATCCACGGTGGTCACTGAAGCATGAACATGGAAACTCCAACATTTTCAGAACGTACCCGGAAATGGGATGGTAGACCAAACTCTGACACAGCCTCAAGGAAACATGCAAAAACGGTGCTTGCCTTGGTATTTTTTGAACATTTTAAATAGACTGGTATTCTATAGTTCTATAAACTGTTGCAAATGTTTGCAATTTCTCTTGTAACAAGACCGCGAAGACAGGCTAAGGAGTCCGCCATTTTGACACTGAGTCCCAGTTTTCCTCGGTTAAGTCACCAGAGAGTCGTTCCCAGACTGCTGAATATTTGAAGCACCATTTACGAAAACAGCGGCAGCATTTTTTGAGACAACAGAGGCACCATATACAAAGATAAAGGCACCAGTTTAACAAAATAAGAGTCTCCATTAACAAGTTTAGAGGCACCATATACAAAGATGAAGGCACCAGTTTAACAAAATAGGAGGCACCATTAACAAGTTTAGAGGCAACATATGTGAAAACGAAGGCACCATAAACAAAATTGGAGGCACCATTTATGAAAACGAAGGCACCATAAACAAAATTGGAGGCACCATTTACGAAAGAAACGATAGCTGAATTTTGGCGTTAATGGCACCCCATATATTTGTTGTTGTTGTTGTTTTTCTGATCAGCAGAAGTGAAGATTAACGCTCACGCTTCCCTTGAGCACCCTTACTGCTTCGTGCGGACTTCGGGGTTCAACAACCTTGATGGTCATGGCAGTGATAATGATACAAAGCAAAAGGTTTAGTGAGTGAAAGCGATGCCTGAATCACGTTCATACGTTTATACGTATGAGTCTAAAGTTCGCATGTGGTATGGTTGGTTTTAATTGGTCCACAGGAAACTCTTACATTCGATAAGATTTGATGCGTTTAAATTGTTTTCTCTGGCGACCATCTTGAATTTTGCGGTCTAAGGAGTTTGATTGTTTTGACACACAGTACGCGGCACATTCTGTTCCAATTGCAAAACAAGCAAAACGCCCTGGAGTTGGGAGGTAATTAAACAAATCATTTTAAGATTGATAGTGATTGACAGTCAGATCTTTGATTTAGTGCCTTGTATTGTACTCAGTAGTCGCGAAGAAATGTATGATTCGTATCTGTATAAAACTAACCAGTGAGTGAGCAGAATTCGTATCAAAACCTGTTCAGGGGCACCCAACGAGGATATAGTTCAAAACCACTTAACATAGCATTGTTGAACGTATTTTAGTATTCAAACGGTAGATATAGGCATATTTTTATCCCCTAAAAACTTTTCATCTGTTCGGATTTCCTAACTGAAAGTCTAGTGATCCGAAAATTATAGGGATCAAAACTTACCTTTTCGAAAATTTCAGCCAGGAAAAGGCTCTCGAAAATTCTAGGTGGCCTTTTTTTAGGGTCAAAATCCGTCAAAAATGGGTAATTATACCATTTTGTAGATGTTCGAAAATCCTAGAAGAGGCAGGCAAGCAAGAAATTTTACAACAAATGCTCCGAAAATTCTAGATCTCAAATCGTCTTCCGAACAGATATTTTCTCGAAATTGCCGTTGGGTGCCCCTGCCTGTTACTATGTCGAAAAAGAAGTAACCAGGAAAACTGTTTGCAAGCTTTAACCGTCTCTAGTCTCTAGCTTGTCCTAAAAAAAATTATTAAATGCCAAAACAAGTTGGGACATATCTTTGTTGCTGCTTTGTTGGACTGTTTCAGTTATTCACACTGTTTTATTTTCTGTAACCTTGAACGACGTTTCTGGTAAAATGATTTCATATATTAAGAGTATTCTGACCTATCACAGAGGTCTAAAGAACCTCGTGATAACCACATGGGCGAATATTTGTTGATAAGTAATTAATAAGGTTTCTGGGAATTCGGCTCGCCCTTTTCCGCGGGTTAGTTTCCAAGAAAGCGTCTCAGAAACCTTGACGAGTTGAAAATACAGTACAATTACAGCTTTATCCGTATTAAGATGATAAACTGTTGATTAACGTTTTTATACTGTTAGAAACGTTATGGATTTCGGGCGCACACAGCAGGGACCTTGAACATTGATTTCGTAACTACACCAATTAGAATGACAAAAAAGCATCATGTGGTTTACCCTCGAACTTCGGCCAAAACTTAGTCTGTTGTTTTGTTATCTTATAAAGTTCATCTAGAACCGTGAAACCTGTCCTAAGGGGACCCATATTGCGCTGTGTATTAAGATCAAGACTACACAAGCCTCTGAAAGTCGCAAGTGTTCCTTTCATATCGTTTTGAACCTGGTTATAGCAGGGACCTGTATTAAGGGAACATGGGCGAAGTTTCACCGTATTTATCAAGGCGTGACCTAGGGCCTTTAAATTCAAGAAATACGCAATTAAGTATTCCAAATTTAAACAAGTTTCAATCAAGCCTTCCCGTCTTTTAAAACCAATGTAGCACGCGCTGTGGTTAAGCATATACAGGACACTAAGCAACTGTAGAAATACGAATAAGGCGGGCGAGACAACATTGTCGTTATAAACGCTTCAATGAACTTATAGATTTTAATTTTGGATCTAGAAGATATGCCTATCTTTTAAAAGAACCATGAAATAGAAAAAAGAGTAAATTTTTTCCTGGACGCACGACTCACATAGCTTACACTATACTCACTGCACGACTACTACCCTTCAAACTATACTGCACTATTGTGCTGTACACCTATGCATGATTTTATTATCAAGAAACGGCTGAATTTTTTCCGCACCAAATGGTTTTGAAATTTAAAGAAATCTCTATATTTCGAAGAGGTGCAGCGCTGTACGTGTTTCAGATTGAATGCCGAGAAAAGTATGCAAATACATTTCACGCCGGTTGGGATGTACATAGTGCGTGTCCAAGAACCAGACAAGCCAGAAATGCAAATACTTTTTGAGAGTTCTTACTCGTATTATGATTTAACCTTTTTGATTGTCTCAAAGTGGTACACCCCTCCTCTATCTACCTACACTCTTTCGTTTCGTACGGCCGATGTCACATCCGCAATCTGAATCTCTCCGACTATGGATTATTAACAACAGTTTGTTTAAAGTTGATGCGTGCCAAAGCATAACTGCGGTATTTTACCCCACTTGTATTTCAGTTTCAATGCTCAATTGTTTTTGTTCATAAGAGCTTGACTGTCATGGTACACCTTTTTTATTACTTAGATTATTAATGTTTCAAGCTGAACTTACAAAGAGCTTCAGGTGCAATTTTTAACGTCTTTTACAATCATTAAATCATTATTTTCTAAGGTCTGAGTAACGCACAAGATCTAGGTAAGCTAAGGTAACAATTAACGCAGCTTCCTGAGCTTGAGAGCCCAGGACTGTATTGCCATGTTTGGTTCAACTATCACGTCTTTGCACCCAGGGATCTAACTTAATTTACAAGCAATCAGTGAAGTTTTATCGGCATGGTGTATAATGTGCTCCAAATTACTAACTTACTAGTTAGTTTATATTGTATAGTGGGAGTCGAAGAAGTAACCACGATAAGCTTAAGCTGACCAACAAACCAACATAATTATTCAAGAAGGGAATACATGAAAACTAATATATACAATCAAGTTGTTTAGTCTTTTTGTCAGTTATTAGTGGTATGTAACGGACTCGATAAGGCCATACGGTTATGAAACAGCTTTGTAACAGTACAGTTTTCACAGAACTGATCAGTTACCTCCCTTCATGAAATACTATTGACTAAGGAAAACTGCTCTATTTTTGTATAACTCCATAAGGCACAAGGATATCACTACCGCCGAATCTAAACAGCAACTATACTGTACTACATTCTACTTAATTTCCTAAACGTGTCGATATCGTTTTAGTTTGAGTCGCATGTCGTGTTTGTAACGACATAGCGTGAACGCTGGACACTCTGCCATGGTCCTCTTGATGTTTTGCCTGCTATCTAATTCTTCATGATTATGCCAGAAAGTTCAGAAAGATGGATTTTATCTTCAAGTAAAACGTAACGAAAAAGGGGGTTATAGTTTTGTCCCCTGGCACTCAAGAATCGAAAGGACTTACTAAGTTGTTTGCGGTTATCTCTAGCTTTGTTCTCCGTTAACTCGTGCCCACGTTTCAAAGAAAGTCAACCTTTCAGAATACCTTTCTGATCCATCATTTCCGCTTGAGCGGTGGAAGTGTCATAGCTTATAAATTCCGCTTTCCCCGAATTGAAAGTTAAAAAAGTTTTTGTCGTAGTCATCAATTTTATCGACATTAACTGAGAAGCTTAAGTAATAAATATAATACTGATGCCACGAGCAGTAGCATTATTTACAGTACTTCTTTCACTTTTGGCAATCGGCATAAATGCGTTTCTGCGCTTAAAATTGTCTTTCTATCAAAGAACCTAGCACAGTTGCGTCTTTGTAAAATGTGAACAAAAACGCTTGCTTGAAAACACCTCTTTTAGTGTTATTCCTAGGTTAACGAGAGGGATGTAGCAACTACTTTCTGATACTTTGCCTGCGAGTGGGTTCGTTTAAGGATGAACACATATTAAGTGGATGCATTCCGTAAATACAAGAGCCATTATTGCTCTTGGTATATATTATCTACTGAATAATCACAAAATATAAACGGTATAAACGTCGGTCTGAAACATTACCACAGTCTTGTACATTGCTACTGTCTCAAGGTTTTCCACATTTCAAATAACTCTTCGACGGTTTGCTCTTCTGTCCAGCCATTCAGTTCGCCATGCTTCTTCATCACAGCCAGTGACTCCAATAGCACCTTTTCACTTAGAGTAGGATGAGCGATCGCGTTCCTTCTAGTCTTGAGCTCTTTTATCGTTCTTTTATGCAATGTGTCCTCCCAATTCAGCTTCTCCTTGAGTTCAGCCCATTTACGCTCCGCTTCGTTTTTCTCTTCTGCGTCCTTTATTTTTGCAATATCTTCCTCTAAGTACTTAACCAGGTAATTCCTCTTATGATTGTATTTACTTGGAAGAACACTCTTGTACATCATGGCCTGTATTCGTGAGCACATCTCACCCAGATAAATAGAGGCTTTCTCTATCTCTTGCTCAGCAGGACTCTGTGATATATTTTCAGGGACGGCGGCCATAATCTGAATCGTTTCTTGTACGTTTCCTCTTTCAACTTTGTTACTTGCTTTCTCACTGTTGCAAGTTCAGCTTCAACAGAATTCAACTTTGTCTCCAGGTCTGTCTTGTCGCGTTCAAGCTCTTCTATTTTGTCTTCCAGTTGCTTGATTTTCTTGTCTTTCCATTCCAAACTAACGTTGAGTTCTTTATTTTCTAGCATAAGCTTTTTTACCTCCTTGTTCAGTCGTAAAATTTCGTCATCCTTTTCCCGTATTTTCGTTTTGAGAGACTCGATTTCCTCAGTATGGCGTACAATTTGTGGTCGAGGATCGTGAAACATTGCCTCTATCAGTGTCAGTCTCCGTGTCGACTGAATAACGTTCTGTGCAACTTCATCGTGACCTTCCGCCATTTTTCTAGTTTGGAAAAGCGGTCAACGTCCTTCCAACTTAATCGATGGTATCGAAATCGACAGTTTGCTTTTAGGTTACATCAGCACAAAATACTCTGAAGCGATCGAAGGAAAGCTTGAGGGCGTGTTTTCATGATTGATAGATCCTTTCATTATGACGTGGACATTATCTCCTGCGCATGTCCCACAGTTTATAAGCCACTGACAAAAAATAAATAAAATAAATAGATAATAACAATAATAACAATAACAATTTATTTATATAGCGCTTTTTTCTTAAGAGTTCACAAGCGCTTCACATCAATAAAAAATCTGAAAATTGCCTTAAAAAAATAAAATTTATAAAACCTCAAAATCTTTGGACCAATCTCTAACATACGTTCATAAAAGGCTTTGTCTTAGTTTTACCTAGCAATAGGCCTTTTTGAAAAGAAACGTCTTCAGGGCTTTCTTAAAACTACCTATAGAATCGCACACTCTTAGCTGCCGCGGAAAGGCATTCCAAAGCTGGGGGCACAGAAAATTATTGAAAATGCCCTGAACCTATACAATTTTGAATTATAAGATTGGGTCTTCAGAAGCTGCATGTCTCCTGATCTAAGGTTACGGCAAGGTCTATAAAGGTCCAATAGATCCTGGAGATAAACAGGTGCCATACCATTCACCACTTCCACATCCACAACTGGCAACCAATGAAGCTCTATTAGTACTGGCGAAACCGTAAAATTCCGAAAATACGCCCCTCCATGTATAAGCCCCTCCAAATATAAGCCCCCCTAACCGGTAACGCAAAACACCCTCTGTTAAACCGTCCCTCCAAATATAAGCCCCCGGGGGCTTGTACTTGGAAAATTGCCCTCAAATACAAAGTAAAACAAAGCAAAAACGGTATATTTACTTTAAACTATAAGGCTAGTCCAACCGATTTTGAAACGCAAATTTCCCTCCGTAGATAAGTCCCTCCGAATATAAGCCCCTTCAAAAATAAGCCCCTCAAAAAGGGCCTTTCAAAAATATAAGCCCCGGGGCTTATTTTCGGAATTTTACCGTATGTAATCATGCTTCCTAGAAAATGTAACCAGCCTAACGGCAGGCGGCGCTGGATCTTACCCTTAGGAAGGCCATACAAGGGTGCGTTACAATTATCTAACTTAGAAGTCACAAAAGCGTGCACCAAAGTCTTAGCGCGGTTTCCATACTGAGAAATTTTCTAATTCCGAAATTAACCTAATTGAGTGAAAAGCAGATTTACATATTTGCTCGATCTGTTTATCAAAACTAAGATTGGAGTAAAAAATAACCCCAAAGTTCCTTGCATGATCTTTGGGCTCGAGGTTAGGGCTAGCTACTTGCATACAGTCCAGGGAGGGAGCAGGCCGATGCTTGGCGTGGAAGACTAGGATCTTCGTTTTGTTATCATTTAACTACAAGTTGTTGTGCATTAACAATACTGATGCAAGCCTGCAGCTTGATTTTGGTTTCATCAAGATCACCAGCATCAGAAGTCTTGAACGCACGGTACGCTTGTGTGTAGTCAGCTTATTGATAAAAGACACCCGCATTAAACTAAAAGTAATCAGTTTGATAGTTTTAGGATAGGAGGGAGCAGTTCTTTCAGGGAGTTGATTTCAGTTTGTGCCACGATGTAATGCACTGCTTACAGTCCCGTTAGTCAGGGACCCTTTTCCGGACACTGCGAAACTGTTTTAAGTTTGATGTATTGAAAAGACTAGGGTCCATTTAACAATACTACCGTACGGTATCATATCTTCATGAAGCTATTGCTTTTGAACTCCCTCTAAATGACAAAAATATCTTTTATTGCCCTGAGAGTGTAGTTGACATGGATGAAATAACACATCAATTTGTTTCTAGAAATTGTGAGTCTAGATCGCTTTTTGCTGATTTCATAAGTTGAGTTTAACCTTTGTCAAAGTTGGAGTTCCCCAGCAAACTTACAAATAGTAAGTCTCGTGTGAATTAACACGACGTATTTTCTTGCCTTATCAAATAGCGGTCCCATATATACTCCTAACATCCCAGTCGCCAGATTGAGGCACCAGTCATGAAAGGATAGGTATAAATATTTGTAAAAAAAGCCCCGTGGTCAGTTTTTACCAGTTTTTACTCTAGCCTCAGTCATCTCTTTACAAACCATATCGAAGTTCTCTTGCGGCGCCATAATTGATTGAGAAACTGTAAAGTTCGCTTGAGTCAGGTTTTTCGCTACCTGCCATTACATCGTGGTTGGATTCACTTCATGTGCGTCAACAAGTTTTTCGTTACAGCTCCGCCAATACGACAAAATTTGCGGCCTCCAGAGTCCGCAGAAAGGATCAAAATAAAAGGGTGTCCTTATTGAAGGCGTCCCTTTCCCTCTCTCCCCATTCCTTCTCTCTTTTTCCCTCCCTCCCCTACACCTTTAGACTCCTGTCAAGAAGGTTGACTACTAGAAACAAACAATTGAATATTCCAAATGGATAGATGGATAGATAGTTTATTCACCTTAAAAAATTGCAGTTAGAGGGCTAATTTCTCTGTTCGATTGGCAACTAATTGAAAGGTTTGGACGTTTCTTGTAAATTGGAAAAAAGTATACTACTACTAAAGTACGACGCCTTCATTGTGACTTTCTACGAACACTCCACATCGGAGTTGCACTTACTGCTGAACAGAAAAGGTCAGTTTTAATAACGTTTTTGCAAATGCAACTTCGAAACTATTAGTTTCTTAGAGTGAGAAGTGTCAGACTGAGTAAGGTTTTGTTCCCAGTTTTCATTTTCCCGTTCCACGAGCTCGTTATCCGCTCACCGTTCCCCGTTCAAGTATAACATTAAACACGACACGTTTCCACACAGATTACTGGCAACAGTGGGCAAAGGGGCAAAGTACCTTTCTATAAAATGAGTTGAGCCAGCACTCTAGCTGACCTAATCCGCGAGAGAGCTATTTTAAGCGCGCGTCAACCTAGGCTACTGCTTTTGATTGATGTCTTCCTCAGTTATTTATATACATTATGTTTTTAGTCTTCTGCGTTAATTTGCAAATTTCACTGTAACATTAACTCTGAAAATGCCGTGGGGACAAGCCTATGTTTTATGAATGAAAAAATAAAACTTCTGAATCAACTTTGTTGCTGTTCAAAACGGAAACCTGGAAACTAGTGTTTCATATCGCGCGTGTTGCGCGTGCATACATCGTTAAATCTTATTGTGACGTCAAATTTTCGGTTTTTGTTCAGTCTTTGGCATGCAACGCAGCAGTTGAAAGTTTCTCGTAAAGTAGAAAAAAGTGCGATCACTTTAGTATCGCTTTCTCGGCAAACACTCCAAGTACGTCGGAGTAACCTTTCGTCGGAGTAGCACTCATGACTGGTGAACAAAAAGGTGAGGTTTTTCTGCTCATTTAGCCTTTTTAGCTTAAAACTATCCCTCTGTTTGATCTTCTGGACAAATCAATACAGGCTGTTCATAAAATCTACTGAGAGTTCAAAGTAACCACTTAAAGGTGTACAAGAACTAAAAAAAATCCCAAGAAATAAAAAGAAAAAACAAACAAATAAAAGCTAACGGGGAGAGAATCTCAAAGGAGATGACCTTGAAATAATCTATCGCGCCCCATAAGCGAATTAAAGTAACGCGTGCGGGCCAGTTGATGGTTTAGTTAGTTGAAGTTTTGCATCAGATTGGTTAAGACAGTGGCCATGGCTTGTATTTTTAGCCAAACACAAAGCTAAAAAATGGAACCAAAGAATCTGAGGCTACGTCTGCGCTATATCGCACAGCTCTCGCGCCGGTGAGATAGCCGGTAAGAGAACGGTGATTTCGGCCAAGTTTTTGCTGCGCCGCGCTGATCACGAAAGTGGTTCGTTTTATATTGGACAGGCTTCTGTGTCCACACTCTTTTGTGCAGTATAAGCAGGTCAGGTGTAGATACCAAACGTGATAGCTTTTTATGTCGACATGAAAAACTATTCGGCTTGTTTAGTGTAGAAAGATCCCTCGACCTTTAATTTTGTAGCTTTAACACTAGGAAAATCAAAATATAAAAAAGCGTCGATAAAAAAACGTGTAGGGGTGTTCGAGCAACGCGCTCGCTAAGCGTAGAGGTACTAGGTATCCGAATATGAGTTTACATCTTGGTGTTCTTTATTCAACACAGCAGCTCATATGTTTTTCCATTACAGCATCACTTTACGACTACAGCTCAACTGCCAACTGCACATTCTTACATCACTAACTAGTCTCTGATTCCCCTTAGACTGCCCCAAATGTTGGCAACTTAAATAGCTTAAACGAAGGTACTTTCAGGCTTGCTGATCATGAGAGATACGAACGCCTTCTATTATTAATAGTGACTTACCGAATTTCCTGTTGATCACAAAAGTGGGTGAAAATTAACTCATAAGATTGAACAAGTTAAGAACTAGAAAACCAATAAAAGCCTGACAACTAAAGTAATCACATCGTCGGAGACAACAACTAAAACGCAGTGAATTCTAACACTGAAAACGGCTTTTGTCTTACTGACAAGTAAGTAGATAAGGTTGACGTAAAACTAGAAAGGAAAACACCATTGAAAAATCTTAATTACATTCGACGAGAAATGTACTAGGGAAACAAAAACGAATACGAACATAACTGGGAAATACAAAGGGAGAAATCATGGTTGTTTAACATTTATCAAAATTTTCCAGGAAACTCGGTTGGAAAGTAAAGGGAACACGACTTTTTGGCTCTTGCCAACGGAAAATTTAAACAAAGGAGAAACGGAACATCTGAAAAGGTAGTTCGGTTTTTCCGGATAAAATATTCCACATGGAAATTCGCATTCCATTTTTTCAAAGCCATCTTTGATTCCAGTTTCAGGCCTTCGCGGCCGTTTTCCGGTAATTGGAGCGAGTTTGTACAAATGGTAAACGCGATTCTGGGACGAAATTTACCAGTCCTGAACTTTGCGAACCATTTAACCACACCATGAACCAACCGGTTTGCCCTTGTAAATTGTAAACAACGAATAAAACGAAATGAAATAAGAAACGAAAAGAGAGACTAATACCTTGTAAGCCTGTTATAGATGCCACCTTAGAACAAGCTCGAAGAATTCTGACCGCTGAGCTAACGATCATTCAACTTAAATAATAATAGTAATAATAATAATAATAATAATAATAATAATAATAATTTTTTTAATGAAAAAATTTTATTGACAACAATGCTAACTATTAAAATCCTATTTACAATTAATTCGCCTGAAAAAAAGAAAGAACTATTCATTCAAAAAACTATTTACAATTCCTGTCGATTTAAAAAGCACCTAATTTAGCTTAGAAAGAGTTAATTTAACTAAGAAAAATTTATTCAAATTAAAAATTCGAATAATAATAATAATAGTAATAATAATAACAATAACAATGATAATAACAATAATAATAATAATAATAATAACAATAACAATAACAATGATAATAATGATAATAAAACTTTAATAGCGCCGATATCAATATTGCTATTTTCATCAGCACTTAAAAATAACAATATTTCAACAAAAAATTATCAAGACTGCTTAAAGTATACAAAGTGCATGAACCTACCAAAAAGAGTTAAGACAATTATGTTAACTCTAAAACTATAAAAATTACCTGGACTACTTAAACCGTAAAAAAACTGCATAAAACCTACTAAAAACGAGATTAAAAAGCACATAAAATTACAAAATAGCTTTCTGAAATAAAAATGTTTTAAGTGTCTTTTTAAAAGATGTTACTGAAGGGCTACTCCTAATCGCATAGGGCAATGAATTCCATAGTTGAGGAGGAGAAGCAGCAAAAGGTCGATCTCCTAACGTTGTTAAAGTCTTGAATTTCACAGGGTTTAGTCGCAGTCCATCACAATCGGAGCGTAACTTGTATTTACATGCTTCTTTAATTTTAATAAGTTCCTGGAGATAAAAGGCGCTAAGTCATTGATAACCTTTGAACGTTAACAATATCTTAAAGTCAATTCGGATTTAACCGGAAGCCAGTGCAGATTATACAGCAACGGTCTTAGAAGGCAGTATTTAGATTCTTGGAAAATTAACCTAGCGGGAGCATTTTGGACCCTCTGTAGCTTATTAAGCTGGTAGGCTGGCAGGCCATAGATCAAGCTGTTACAATAGTCGACGCAACTTGAGACAAATGCGTGAATGAACGTCTCAGTGGACCGCCTAGAAAGAGACTTCCTGATTCTTCTTATATTATACCTTCAAGTAAGAAAAAGCATTGGAACAAGTGTTATTTACATGAGAATTCATCGAAAGAGTGAAGTCTAACCATATCCCTAAGTTCTTAACTACCCCTTTTGGTCTAACTACACAGTCTCCAATTAAAATATGATCAATGTTAACCTTGGCTAGTTGTTGCTTGGTACCAATCATTAGGACTTCTAGTTGAACACCTTACCAAAAAAGGCGCGAAAATTTACCCTACCACGCGGGCCTGGGCGGGCTGACTAGCAGTTACAACTAATACCACGAGGCTCTTCCTTAAACCCAAACCGACTAACCTGAGATCAGGCCCAGTTTTAGCGGTTCTCATACATTCTCTCTAACGGCTACCGCTAAAATTGGGCCTGATACAAACTCTCTCACGTTTTTGCTTGTTACGGCCAGATTTTGGCCGTAACGCTGATTGGCTGTTGGAACAATTTTACAAGATCTGATTAGCAAGATCTGAAGGTTTGTATCAGGCGAAACGAAAATTGAGCCTGATCTCAGGTTACAAACCGACAGGAACTCCGATGTAGGTAACAATCAAAGTCAGCTATATTCCCAAACCTACTCACTTCAAGGGCTGACAAACAAACTTCATTAAACCAGAAGCTAAATGACACTTATGTCCACAAACCCATCAAAAATGGTAATATCACTCAAAAAACCTGTTAATACAAATACGGATTAACCTTTATTTTCAAACCTAAACATAATGAAACCCTAACCATGAGCGAAAGCTCAAGAACAAACAAACTATCAGCAAAAATTCTCATGATAATGATTTTTAAAACAATCACAAAACTACTTCACAACAAACGAATATTGCAAGCCATAACAGAAAGAAAGAAAGAAAAAAAAGAAATTTTTCTTTTAGAAAGAAAAATAGTTAAACTCGTAGAGCTCGATTTTGCATTCAACTTAAAGTCTCTTCTGACGGCGGAAAAAGCATGATCTGCTTGGCGCGACTGGCACAGATTCTCACGGTTTCAATGTGCAACACCCGACCACGTGCAAGTCTTAAGTTCGCAAGGAACATGGTTAGTTTTAATTGGCCCACTGGGGAATTTTAACCTAATATTTATCAATGCGCATGAATTTTTTTCGTTGGCGGCCATTTTGAATTTTGCGATCTAAAGCCCCATGCAAACGGACGCAACATTGTTGGGCCAACAACTCCCAGCATTGTTAGCCCAACAATGTTGGGAGTTGTTGCGTCCGTTTACACATAGCTTAAAGTTTGACCGGTTTCAAACTTTGCGCAACGACATGCAACAAGATGAGCAAACGGACACAACATGTAATATCCAACAATTTTGCTTCCGTTTGCACGTAGCATAAGTAGTTTTATAAAATAACTGAGAGGGTACCCGCGCTCTGATTGGCCGAGAGGAGTGTNCTTTGCGCAACGACATGCAACAAGATGAGCAAACGGACACAACATGTAATATCCAACAATTTTGCTTCCGTTTGCACGTAGCATAAGTAGTTTTATAAAATAACTGAGAGGGTACCCGCGCTCTGATTGGCCGAGAGGAGTGTTTGCATGAGATATGTAAACATGGTTGTGGCGTCAAGATGTTTTGCTTTTCGCGCGCTTATCACGCAAGCACAAATTTAAAAAAGGTTTTCGAGTTCAAAACTCGACAAGTTTACTTTATTTACCCATTCCTCCGTCGGCTGAAACTTGGAAAATCGTTACAAAGAAGGTGTGTCAGTTTTTTTTTTTCGCTTAAGCTGACAGTTTAAGCGAGAAAAATCCGTATTTTGAATAGCATCTTTTTGCAAAACAAGAACTGATTACGCGTGCAAGACTTCGTGTACTAGACTTTGCGACTGGTAAGAATTTCTCTTTTAATCAGTGCCATAACAAAGAGTTTTGCTTTTTTTCTTGGGAAAGTTATTTTATAAAAGCAATAGAAAACTTTTTTCCTGTCTTTGCATAGCCTAATATAAACACTCGAGGGGTTGGGAGAATTCTCGACAGTTATGCAAACCCTCGACTTCGTCTCGGGCTTGCATAACTTTTTCGAATTCTTCCAACCCCTCGAGTGTTTATATCAGGCTATCCAAACACGGAAAACGTTTTCTATTGCTTAAATATTATTTTGACACATAGTTCTTGACACATTCTTGTCCAATTAAAAAAACTTGCTGGAGTTGGGAGGTAAAACCGATCATTTAAAATTTAGATTGATAACTGTTAACAGCTATCTTTGATTCATTTCTCCGCATTGGTCACGGGGGAAAAGATTTATAAGCTTTAACCAGCTTATTGTCCTTATTGTTTAACAGTTTGTTTTGACTATTCCAGTTATTTAGGTTATATAACTTTCTGTGACCTTGGACGACATTCTGGTATTAAATATTAAAATTATTTATTATTTAGAGAATTCTGACCAATCAAAGATGTCTAAAGAACTTCGTGATAACCACAAGGGAAAATATTTGTTAATAAGTAATTTTATGTTTCTAGGAATTGCTTGAATTACGATCGTCCTTTTCCGCGGGACAGTTTCTTGGAAAGTGTCTCAGAAGCTTTGGGGTTTTATCATTTTTTGTTGATAAACTGTTGATGAACGTTTCCTTACTGTTAGTAACATCTCGGATATCCAGGGTACAGGGAAGGCACCTTGAGCGTTCGTAACTATAAATCAGGATAAGGGACACGCTTCCTGAGTTCGATCTACCTCGCAATCGCATGTATTTCTTGTTTTTTGTTTTTTTTTTAATACACTCATGTTCTACGGCTTGAGACCTGTTTAAAGCTAAGAGGACCCAAATAAAAAGGAGCCCAGCCTTTTATTACGGCTAGCCTGCGAACAATTACAAGCTCTTCATTTCTAGTGAGCCTCAGAAAGTTACAAACGTTTCCTTTATATCATTATTGATCTGGAAAATCAGGAATCTCAATCTGTTTAAGCGAACTGTATTTACCAAGGTCATTAAGCCGTGTAGGTCTCCTTGAAGGTTTATGAGAAATACGCAATTTAATTTAGTGAAGGAGTGACTCAAATGTAAACAAGTTTGAAAAAAAGTGTTATGATTTACAACGTATTTACAGTTGGACGTTTCTCAGAAAACCAATGAAGCTCAATGACGCACTCGCGGCTGTAAAACATAACGTACTTATTTATAAGCGAATGGATGGGAATTCGACACGATATGAGATAGCATGGCCGAGTTAAAACGACGGAGTGAGTTTATAGATTGAAATGGAGTCAGAAAACTTGTCTCGACTAAAACGAGCGGCTTAAAAATACTAATAATAACTGATGATAAATTAAAATGGAGAAGAAAATTTCTAGTTTCCAGACTATATGGGGTGACTCCATATTAATAAAAGGAATACAGTCTCATAGATTGTTTCAGAATAAAATGTGACTTTCAATTGCACATTTCACAATTTAATTTCAAACTCAAGTTGAACAATTTAAATTACAAACACACATTTCGTTTCGCGAGTGAATTATTAGGTCTGTAAACTCCGAGCATTAAGGGATTTTGAGAGGTATATTTTAAAAACTCATTTTAGAAGCACTAACTGCCCCTTGCCAGCAGCTGCGGCGGTCGCTACGCTTAGTTGGCTTCTAGATTTCCCTCAATTTCTTACAGTGTCAGGAAATCAAGGAACTGTGATTACTTCTTTCGGCGTTCTCTTTTAAACGCCAGTTTGTAAGGTACGGTTTTGGCGCATGCAATGTCCCAGCGCCGATAAGCTTACAACAAGAGTGGTCTCGTTTCCATAAAAACTATAACGATAGCCAAAGTTGTAGGTGACTGTCGTGACTCCTGACGACTAAGCTTATTTTGGGAAAGCTCATCGCATGGGACATAGTTGTATCGAGTGAAGCGGACTTTTAAAGCATTATTACTTGCCTATACCGCCAAATGGTGAAATGCTAGAACAGGACAAATTTTCGTCAGTATTTAGTGTCGTGTTCAAACATCAGTCTATGTTGACAATCTCGACCTCTGCTACCTAGCTGATTTTCCCTTCTAGATTCGTGCCAATATCGGTGAATTTTCGCATTTTGTGCAAAATGTTCACAATATTCTTTTGGTTGAACTAAAAGTGTTTCTTTGAAATATTAGGCTACATTATTAAGTTAACATACTATCAAGACTTTCGTCTTATTCGGTTCGCAACATAATTGGCGGCAAAGCCATCCTAAGCTAAACTAAACCGAAGTATGGAAAATGAGGTGCTACAACTTTATTCCTCTAATGTAAGTCCCATGAGCTGTACCAAAAGCTCTAGTTTGAACATGAAAAGGGTCTACGAAAGCCTATAATAAGACACTTCTTCGGTTACTTTCTGACAACCTGAGACGACCCCATGTGCGATGCTTTCTAGGAATTTTATCCGGATGATTAGGTTTCTGCTTTTCTCGGAAATAGGTAGATTAACGTAGTAACTTGAATTCTCATAAAATGAAGGAAACTTGAAGACGTANATAGTTGTATCGAGTGAAGCGGACTTTTAAAGCATTATTACTTGCCTATACCGCCAAATGGTGAAATGCTAGAACAGGACAAATTTTCGTCAGTATTTAGTGTCGTGTTCAAACATCAGTCTATGTTGACAATCTCGACCTCTGCTACCTAGCTGATTTTCCCTTCTAGATTCGTGCCAATATCGGTGAATTTTCGCATTTTGTGCAAAATGTTCACAATATTCTTTTGGTTGAACTAAAAGTGTTTCTTTGAAATATTGGGCTACATTATTAAGTTAACATACTATCAAGACTTTCGTCTTATTCGGTTCGCAACATAATTGGCGGCAAAGCCATCCTAAGCTAAACTAAACCGGAGTATGGAAAATGAGGTGCTACAACTTTATTCCTCTAATGTAAGTCCCATGAGCTGTACCAAAAGCTCTAGTTTGAACATGAAAAGGGTCTACGAAAGCCTATAATAAGACACTTCTTCGGTTACTTTCTGACAACCTGAGACGACCCCATGTGCGATGCTTTCTAGGAATTTTATCCGGATGATTAGGTTTCTGCTTTTCTCGGAAATAGGTAGATTAACGTAGTAACTTGAATTCTCATAAAATGAAGGAAACTTGAAGACGTATTTTAGAAATCATAGCTGACATGCAATAAGGAAAAAATTTGCTGTTAGTGACCCGCTTATATTAAAGTCACCAACAGCTATTGTTGCCTGTAAAGAAATTGCTTAAATCATGAGCTAAATAAAGTTGAAATGACACGGCATTATTGATGCCTCTTGGACAAACATGTCTCAGTTACCCTATTTTTCATCGCAAAATCACTCCAAACAGTGCCGGTTTTAAGAGTCAGCGCCCTACGTCGAGTTCATTTTTCAGAAACACGTTGACTCTGCATGTCTGTTATCACTTACGCGAGGAAAGCATTAAGGCACAGTTGCATCGTTCCAAGACATCATGCATTATTCTCGCTCAGTGAAGCTACTAAATCCTACTTACCCTTCGATAAATATCTATAGTAAAAATGATGGAGAAAGACTATTAAAACTCCACCTGAACTGCAACATTGATTAGTTGAAACATCTACTGTAGAAGATCTCACAGTTGTGTCAGTTTTTTCCACATTTCAATAAATGCTCGGACGCAATCGGGGCTATGCCAGTCATCCAGTTTTCCTTCCCTCTCCATCTGATCTACTGCGAAACGTATTAGCTCCTCATTTAGTTCAGGATGAGCGGCGGTATTTCTGCTGTCCTGGATTGACTTCATTGCCCTGACGTGGATTTTCTCTTGCCACTTCAAGTTCTTCCTCAGGTCGTCATATCTACGCTTCGCTTCTTGTTGTTCCTCATCGTTTAAATCCTTGATATCCTCTTGTATATGCTTTATTTTGTAACTCTTTCGAGGTACGTACAGTTTTGGTAGAACTTGCTTGTACATCATGATTTGAATTTGCCTGCACATCTCGCCAAGGATAATCGTGGGCCACTCTTCTAGGTCAATAGCAGGTAAAGCAAGTCGTTCAGCTGAAACCACTGATGGCGGCTGCCTGCGTTGAAACGTTTCTTTGAGGTCTTTGAGCTCCTTTTTAAGAGTCATATTTTCACTCTTTACTCCATCAATTCTCTTTGACAATCTTTCCTCGTTCGCTTGCAGCATAATGATTCTTTCCTCTTGACTCTTGTTGGCCTCTTTTAACTCGCCAACTTCCTCTTTCACATCTTCTAATTCTCCTTCGACTGATCTCAACTTCTTCTCCAAAGTCTTCTTTTCAGTTTCCAGTTTGTCGATTTTTTCCTTCAAGCTCTTGATTTCTTTGTCTTTCAAGTCCACCGTCAGTTTAAGGTCGTCGTTTTTCTCCGTAAGCTGTTGAATGGCGTCCCTTAGCTTTGATATTTCTTCTTCCTTTCCTTGTATTTCTTTCTTGAGGAAAGCGATTTCACCGCTGTGGCTAACGATAACGTTTGGATCGATCGCTCGCGCTCTTCCGATCGCAGTTAATACATTCAGCTGTAACTGTCCCGCGTTAGGTGACATATCCTCGCGAATTCCTTCTAACGGCTTAAATGAAGCCATTGCTATTCAAAGTTGGTAAATTTTTCGACGGCGGTAAAACAAAAATTTCAGAAGAAACTATTAGCACATGATAAGTGGAGGGCGATGAACTAAGGCGTTTTTACAGATCGATAGGAATATATTATTAATGACGTGTCATCATAAACTGCGCATGACAGTGGAAATTTTACTCCCCTTAGTCTCCGGTGAGGGTAAGAGGCGGAATGAGTTTGCGGAATGGCATGTGGCATGGTTTGCGGAATGACATAATTATTCGGAATGTAAAATATGGAAAAAGGCGCAAAGAAATAAATTAAACTCAAAAGCATGTGCGTTTCTTTGCCGTGCCTTTTTTTGACGCCAATTTAAGTGAGCAACGTGGTTTCAAAGTAAAAGGAAACTGTTAAGTTAATCGTGCAAATAATCTTTGCAGAAAAAAATTAAAGTAGAAGGGACCTGGAAGGGAGCGTAACCTTCCAAAACATCTTTTCTTCAATGGCCGACTTTCGTGCTGTAGTATCGGTGCTACCATGCAGCCCGACTAATAAGGGAAAGAAGAATCTTTGTGGCTGTGCGGAAAAGGCTAATCGACAACACAATGAGCCTTCGTAGCTTTTTTATTGTCATCGTATGTCGAGCCCGAAACATTAACACAGCGGCGTTTAATTTATTTCTTTGGGTCATTCTGCGAATATTACATTCCGCATAATTAGGTCATTCCAGAAGCCATGCCATATGCCATTCGCAAACTCCTTCCTCCTTTTACCCTCAACGCTTAGTCTCACAATATCAACATCATTTGGATACCATGCCAAGGAATGATAAACATCCAAACATAGTAGCCGATCGCCTTGCGGTACTGAAAGTGTTTTTACAAGCCAGTGATGGTGTGTTACTTTTTCTTTATATTATTTCTTATTCTACCCTTTTCAGTTTTTAAACATACACGCCGAATGTGCAGCTAAGGATGCACTTTTCCTAGAAATATCATGCAAAACTGTCTGAATAATTGAATAATGTTTCTCGGAAAATGATGGCGTTCAGTTCACCAAATATTAATTGATGTAAAGGGGAATTTTAGAATGAGTCAAGGCCAAATCATCCGTATTAAAAGAACGGAATTAAAAATTAAAAATCTAGTTTTAAACAGAAACGGATATGTACAACTATAGGCGCACTTTAACCAGAAATATTGTGGCAAAACTGTTGGAATAATATTCATTGGTACATTAATTAAAAATGTTTCTCAGAATATCATAGTAACCTGTTTTGTTCTCCCTTTACTTTCCTTTAAACAAATTGGAATGAATTTTTTCATTCCTAAATTTAACAAAGCGCTAAGAACATTTTCACCCGTTTCGGCTTATTTGTGCTAAAGATTATGGACAAATTTTATGTTGTAGTAGTTTTCCTTTTTATCAGGAAAACAGAGCACTCAACTTCGACGAGTAGTCTGCCTTATACAATGTATTAATTAGGCTTGTGACTCTGAATAATACATTTAATAATAATTATGGAAAGTTGCGTGAATAAGATTCATCTTTTATTTTAAGGAGGAAACTTAAAGAATGACTTCTACTTCTTCCTACTTGCCACAATAAAACTTCTGCTGGGCTTTTCCCTCACAAAAATGAGAGGCCTATCCACTGAGCTACTGTAGAGTTTATCTAAAAAAGGGATGAAATTACACAGCCATGGTTAAATTACACAGCCATAGTTAAATTCTGATGTACACATTTTCATGTGATGAGAAGAGACTCTACACATAAACAAGAGAGAATGAGCTCTCTTGACATAAACGCGCAGTTTCAACAGGGGATAATGACTTGGTTTTTGTACAAGAAACTGAGAAATGAATGTACTCCGACAACAAAAGCAAAAAAGGAAACAGTAATTCAGAACACAGCTTCATGAAAATGGTCCATAACCATCATCATTTTGTGAAATTCTTCATACTGTACTTCCAGACAAGAGTAAAAAACAGGTTGAAATTGAGCCCGTGGGGTGGGAGGGTTCTTCCTATGATGGCCCAGACGGAGAGGCTCCGCTCGAAAGGGGTATCTTTCTCAGGCTTCAGGTATATGGAAGGGTAGGGATTTCACTAGTTGACAAAAAAAGAAATCTTTCATTTGGGTATGTAAAATACCAAAAGGGCTAACAGATGAATTTTATGTCTTTAGACAAGAAACGTTCTATTTTTGTGATTAATTCCTATTTAAAAGACAGTGCAGATAAAAAGAAATGCAAACCGCTAAACAAGGTACCGTTTGACAATAGAAGGTATACGAAAGGGGTACATTTTTCGTGAAAAATGGTATATAAAGGGGTAAGGGGTTGGGCCTCGGGGCGGAGCTCCCGCAAAAAAATTTGTTGAGTAACCCCTTCCCTCCCCCGGGAAATTGAGAAGCTTGAAATTGATAATGATAAGATAACTGAAGATGCGGCTATTGCTAATTCAATGAATGAGTACTATACCTCAATAGTATCTGACCTATTACAATCAGTAAATGATAATCAAGATCATTGTAGCCTCACAATTACTCCAACAGTATTGGATGGGATCAAGCATTTTCGATTTAAAGAAATCAAAGTTGAGGATGTTTTAAAGTCTCTAAAACCGCTTAAGACATGCAAGGCAACGGGGGCAGATGGTAAACCAGCACAGATATTGAAAATCGAATTGGGAAGCGAGTCCACTCCCGGACATTTTAGCACCAGTCCACTTATGAATCTTTGCTCTGAGCTGGCGAGATTCTTTCCTGAAGCCTTAAAGGTTGCAAGGGTAACTCCAATGTATAAAGGTGGTGTATTAACCATTGGACGTACAAACAAATTCATACCCCCACCGTGGTACAAGGGGGATGGAACCCCTCCCCGGAGTTTTAATATGTTGCAGTATTTTGAAACGATTTTACATTTAGTGGAAAGCCTTTGATCTTCTTAACAAGGTGAGGTATATTTTGTGGGTGGTGGCGCTGTTTGAGGCCTGTGACGTCATTAACAATGGTCGCTATCTTGGCCGCCNAATGAAATGAAGTTATGTAAAGTTATAGTAAATAAGAAAATCAAGTTATAATAAAAACTAATAACTTAGAGTATGTAAAAAATGTAGATGACGGGGGAGAAGTTCTAAAGAGGGCGGCGGGGACGGGGGGGGGGAAGGTAGGGGGTGGCATCTAACCCCCCTGTACGTCCGAGGGTTAACTGAGAGAGGCAAGTATAGGCCAATATGTTGCCTATAATTTTGAAAGGAGTATGAGCGCTTTCTTATGAACAATTACAACAACATGCAAGTGAACACAAGCTTATTACTGACGAACATTTTGCTTATTCAAGAAACTCTTCTACTATTACAGCATTACTAAAAGTCGTTGATGAAAGGAAATGGGCCATGAACAACATGCTACTTACCTGCTGTGCATTCCTAGTCTTAAAGAAAGCGTTTGATGTAATCGATCATTCAACGCGTCTAAACAAATTAAAATATTCTGGATTTGAGACAATGTCTTCAAATGGTTTCAAGATTACCTTTTTAATAGAAAGCAATACGTGCAAGTTAATGGTACTGCCTCAGACAAAAGGATTATCAGTCATGGAATACCACAAAAAAACAGCTACTGATGAAAGTCCATTGTTTGTTCATGCAGGCGAAACTGAAGTGCATCGCTCTGGTTCAGATCTGGAGGTACTTGTAAATGAAGATCTACAGAATTTCGCCTCTTAGCTTCGTCAAACAAGCTGATCTTGAATGCGAGAAGTGTGAGTTGATGGTGATAGGAACAAGGGTTGGACCCAGGTGTCGAAATGAATATACAGATAGCACAAGACCAACTTAAGGTTACACATTCTTTTCGGCATTTGGGCCTAACTAGTTGTCATGGAAACAGCACATCGCCCACTGGATTGAAACAGTCTCTCCCAAGATTGCACTAATGAACAGAGTCACTCACAGGTTTCTTAGCTGCTAAGATCTTGCTAACGATACTTCCAGTGTTGGGTTGGGGTTGTGTTGTTTGGCGGCATGAGTTTAATAAAAGCCTGGCTGAAAGGATTGAAAAAAAAAATACAAAATAAGGCTAGGAGAGCGATCTTAAAAGCCAAAAGAACATCATGTACATTTTGTAGTTAATTTTTTCAGTTAATTTTTTATATTTCCTTTGTTTTAAAAATCATTAGCATTCATTACCATACCCTCCAAAAATGGGAAAATAAAAATTAACTGAGATAAAAAATTAACTACAACATAGAAACGAAATATGGAATACTTTGGGTTTATTGACACTTTTTAACAGAAGACGATTCCTTAAATTTACAGTCGACTCCCGATAATTCGAACCTTCAAGGGAAATAGAGAAAAGTTCGAATTATCGGGAATTCGAGTTATCGGGGGTAAAATTATATGGAAAATGATCTGAAGGGAAATGAAAATTACTACGAGTTAACGGGAGGTTCGAGTTGTAGAGGGTTCGAGTTACCGGGAGTCGACTGTATTTGTATCTTCAGAATTGTAAAAAGTCAAACTTGTCCAAAGCAGTTAAGTGGTGTACTGGTCCAGAGAAAGCAGCTTCATGGTAGATCTCTTAGGAACAAGTGTATTTTAAATGTTAAGGGTGCAAGACCTCTTCTGGGCAAAGAACAGTTGAAGTAGCTGCATCCAAAGGTTGCAATATGCTGCCAACGAAAATTAAGAAAATAACTGTTTTATATTATCTCGTTTTAAGAGGGAGCTATATGATTATTTAAGGAAAGATGATATTGACAATGACAGGTGTACATTGTGATTCTTTTAATTGCTTTTAATCAATTTCATGCCAAATTTTTTAAACAGGTTTTTTTTCTATATTTTATGATGCTTTGTACATTCATCAGCTACATATTTTATGAGGTTTGTACATTATTTAGCTAGACTAGACTGGTTAAGACAAGTGTTTTTTTAATACTGAAAGACTTTTCCAGTTTAAATAAAGCATTTATTACTATTATTATTATCATCATTACCATGAAGGCCTTACTACCCTTTA